CCTATGTTTTACTCCTATTTTGGTAATTGTCCCTAAATTAAACACAACCGCGGAGTAATATTTTTGGGAGTTAAGATGTTTTGTTTCATTGTTTGTTAGGAAAATAAAATGATACTCAGTATAAGTTTATCCCTAAATGTACTTACACTTTGCTTACTGCTTGTTTAGATCTTCTATCGACTACTACCTCTGTCCCATTTATATTGGGACGGAAGAGGGTGACACGGTTATTAAGAAAAGTGGGTTTGGGTGGTTGATATTAATTGATAAAGTAAGAATAAAGTAAGAATAATTTAGAGCCACACAAACTTTGCAAAATATGGTATGGGGCAATTTAAGTAGGACTTCCCGAAAAGGTAAACGGGACAATATAAATGGGACGGAGGGAGTATATTTTATGTTCTAGGGTCTCCAATTACATTTTGAACAGGGCCTTCAATATGTTCGGGCCGGCCCTGCAAATAATACACTTTCTATGAATTGAGGTATATTAACAAGCTCACATGCATTTATGTTTCAATAAAATGAATCATAAAACACACATAAGTAGTAATTTGAGTTCATTTGGAAATATAATGAAACATAAAACAAACATAAGTATCAATTACTACTTGAAACGATCAATAAATTGGTGGTTAATCATTGATGGTTTCACAAGCAAGTAACTTTGAGTTGTTAATGCACGGTCTCATGATTAGTAATCTAAAGAGGGATTAATTGTGTTGGTAGAACCAAAATCATTGTGTTGAGGTTATCAACCTCATCCGATTTCATCAACAAATTAAGATATTAAGTACTGGTGATGAATTGGAGATTCTTGCTCCCCGATTGAGTATTCGATCAGAGATAGTTAAACAAATATGTGGGATCAATAACACATTTCAACAAAGTGAAAAGTAGCAAAACCAACTCTTTATCATATTGATTTAATTATAATCATGTAATTCATTCATGTTAGGGCCTGTTTGGTATGATGTAAAGTAAACTCTTTGCGTGTAAAGCGTAAGGAATTAAACATTTTATACTGTTTGTTTTAAATGTTTAATGTAAACTATAGGACACCTTTTTAAAGACATTTTAGGGAGATTTTATGTGTATTTTAAAAAAAGATTAGACGCATAGTCAAATGATGTATTTCTATTTTACATGCAACTATTTTACGGCCCTAAACTTTACATGCAATCACTTTGCATGTAAAGTTTTAATGCATGGGTAAACTATCAACCATACTCTTAGGGCCTGTTTACTAACAGAGATATTTTCATGTTTTCTACTTCTGTTTTTCGTTCTCCAATTTTCTGTTTTAATTTTTCAGTTTTTCTATCTCTAATTTCTGTTTCTATTTTTTAGTTTTTCATTTTCAAATCTGAAAACATGTTCATCAATTTTTTCACCCAGTTCTCCAATTCTACACCCTTGACCCCTACCCTTACCACGACCATACTCCTCCACAACCCTTCATACCCACCCATACCTATCCGTAGGGGTCGGGGTAGGGAAGTTATGGGTGGGGTAAGGGGTATGGTCGGGGTAGGGGTGGGGGGTAGTGGGTGGGTTAGGGTCGTGGTTAGGGGTAAGTGTGGGGTAAGGTTTGGGGTAAGGTAGAGGTAGGGTATGGAGTCGGGATAGGATGGCGGTAGGGTGGGGCCGGGGACCAAGGTGGGGCTGAGGTAGGGAAGGAGTAGGGGGTGGGGGGGTAGGATGGCGGTAAGGGTGGGGGGTAGTAGGTAGGGTTGGGGTTGGGGTAAGGTAGAGGTAGTGGGATAGGATGGCGATAGGGTGGGCCCGGGATCTGGGTGGGGCCAAGGTAGGGGAAGGGTAGGGTGGGGGGTAGGATGGTGGTCGGATGGCGGAAGGGTGGGGGTAGGATGGAGGTACGAGGGTGGGGGTAGGATGGCGGTGGGGTGGGGCCGAGGTAGGGGCATGTGGTAAGGGGGTTTAATATACGGGTGGGGGTAGGGTAGGGTGGGTCGGGGTGGGGCCGAGGTAGGGGAAGGGTAGGGTGGGTGGTAGGATGGCGGAAGGGTGGGGGTAGGATGGCGGTACGAGGGTGGGGGTAGGATGGCGGTGGGGTGGGGCCAAGGTAGGGGCATGTGGTAAGGGGTAATATACGGGTGGGGGTAGGGTAGGGTGGGTCGGGGTGGGGTCGAGGTGGTAGGGGTGGCAGTAGGGTAGGGTGGATCGGGGTGGGGTAGGGTCATTATAGGGAAAAATGGGTTTGCGGGGTGGGGCTGGGTGGGTAGGTAGGGGTAAGGGGTAAGGTACGAGGATGGAGGTACCGAAATGGAATCGTCATCGGAGCGGGACCGAACTCACCACTAGGTGTAAGTATGCAAATTCATTGCAGCGGCACTCAGTGGCGGAACCAGGACTCGTGACCCGCAGGGGCACAATAACAAAGAAATCATATACTCCCTCCGTCCCGGGGAGAAGTTCCCGAGTTGACTTTCACAAATTTTTAGGAAATAAAGTTACCGAGGGGTAAATTTTACTCTGTTGCACTGTTTCGACACTGTGTGGCACTATTTCGACACTATATGACACTGTTTTGCATTGTTTGACATTGTTTTGATGTAGAATAACTTTCCATTTAGGGAAATAGGAAGTTTCTTTTGGGACATCCAAATAAGGAAAATGGGAACTTGTTTCCGGGACGGAGGTAGTACTACTCTAACAAAAATCATATGCATCGCATATATATCAATAAACAAAACTATAAAATTTAAATAAAACAACTACTAAAATAGCTAAACGCAGGGGGTTGAGTTGGGCGTTTGGACTTGGCCTTTACTCTTTAGGCTTTTGGGGACTTGGGCTGCGGGCTGCTCCAGAAAGATTTCTATGCTTGGGCTGGCACAAGAGAAAGGTTAAGGTAAAGGACTTTTGGGATTGGGCTGCAGGTGCTCAACTAATGAAATATAAATATATGTATATATATTATAAAAAAACAAAAATACCGCAGGTGCACGGGCACCTCCGGGCACTGGGCTGGTTCCGCCCCTGGCGGCACTGTAGCATCTGCGTTTTCCAAATTTGGAAAACTAGTAAAAGTTATTTCTCCAAATCATTAAGGAAAAGAGGGACATGTCTCATTTTTTCCGTTTTGGAAAACGATTTGGTAAACGCGTTTTTCTTTTTTCCTTTCTCCAGTTTTCCAGGAATTTCTTTGGTAAACACGTTTCCTATTTTCTGTGTTCCAGTTTTCCAGTTTTCTGGAAAACTAGAAAATATCTCTGTTAGTAAACAGGCCCTAGTATTTTAATTCTCTTAAAGTTAAAAAACTCATTTGGTATATAGATATGAACTCTACTATGATATTAGTGCTAGTATTGAATTTATTTTGAAACACACAAAATAAATGTCTTCAATTATCTAGGAAAAACTTCGAGTGTTTAGGAATGCAGTCAATGCACTACAAAAAACCGTATGGTTTGCAATAAAAATAGCAACAAAACTGGAAGCACTGACGAATATTATATAGAGAATTCCCTAAATAGGAGTAAAAACGTTTTGAAATTTTAAAATAGGAATAACATGTTTTTTATTCCCTGAATATGAGTAAATTTCTGCCAAGTTTGACATTACAAGGCTTTAAACATGACATTTTTTTTTCAAATTTGGCAGATTACTCCTATTCAAGAAATTAATAACATTATACTCTTATTTTGGAATTTCAAAACGTTTTTATTCCTATTTAGGGCAATTTATGTATTATATATATAATCAGAAATGGTGTATAGACAGAAACTAACTATTGAAATATGTTGATAGTAATATATAAAATACTGTCGGATATTATAATCAGACCAGATCAAATATACTCTACTGTCCAGTGGCGGAGCCAGACAAATGGGTCAGGGTGGTCGAAAATCAATTATGTATAAAATGAAAATGGTAGATCGTTTTGAGACAATGTTCGAGTTGAATGTTTCATTTGTAGTTTAGATAAATAGGCATTCATAAGCAATAAGATAGATTATCTTTGCTCTGTTTCTGAATCATGTCACGTAAGTAATGAGTTAATTATTCGTTATTTTTAAAATTTGAAAAAATAATCAATATTATGCATCAAATTTTCCTTATTTTACGCTTAGAAAGTGCTGATTTTCCAGAAGTTATAACTTTTAATTCGTAATGAGTTACGTGGGCCATAATATATCAAATCGAATATATTTCAGAGCTCTATACTCTCAAACTTTCAGTGGGGTCGGCTGACCATCCTGACCCCCTGGCTCCGCTCCTTCTACTATCCTACTTTAATTTACAAATTGTCATATATAAAATACGTAGTATAAATCTTGTATGAATGAAGAATCATAATCTAACATCACATTTTTTCAATATAATTTGATTACTTGTTACTCAAGAAATGTGCTTAGAAGTTTACTATAATATGGATAAAGTTATTCAATTAGAATTTAAGAATATGTTTTATTTATACAAAAATTATTAATTTATGTAATATGTGTGTTAAAGCTAAAGTCGGTGAAAATTTAAAAGTTACGTAAGTTAGTGTAGAATTATGGTTTAATTGGTGTTGGCTTTGATACTTTAATACAAATTGTTTTTTTGGAACACTTTAATACAAATTTGAAATGTGTACGTGTGTATATAAAAAGGTATGTGATAATTTATCTGAAAATTTTCCTGCCATGTGTGTATAATATGTTCAAAGGAATATATACAATTATACACATACTAGAAGTATTTTGTGTTTGTGGTCCCGAATCTGAAAAGGATTAGGCAATTATTTAGCTTGTGAAAATGTATAATCACATGCGGATATGGTGCTTTGATTAAGTCTTCTGTCGTATAGAATCCATCAAACTCCAACTCCACCTAAGTGATTAACACAAACATAAAAAAGTTTATTTTGTGGAATCACATTAATCACCGATCTTATTCGGTCAATATCGTATAGCTTTCAGTCAACGCGTCATTTAATTAATTGGAAATTATCCCTCACTATAAATTCCTGACCGACTTCACCTCAATTTCTTCACAATTCACAACCAATTAAATAAAAAAAAGTTTGTTTTTTTTTTGTTTCAAGAAAAAAAATGGGTTTCCTTTGTTTTAAGAAAAAACACCGTCACTTTCTGCGCCACTCTTCGTCCATCTCCATCCCGACGAGGATGAAGGTGATCGATACTTCGCCGGAGAAGGTGGTTGCGCCGCCGCCAGAAAAGCTGGAAAGAACGTCGGCGCCGGTAGATATAGACAAACAGGCGGAAGCTTTTATTCAAAAGTTTAGGCACCAGAAGGTGGCTGCGCCACCGCCGGAAAGAAACCCGGCGGCGGAAGATACAGACAAAAAGGAGGAAGCTTTTTCTCAACCGTCTAAGCAGGGGAAGGTGGTTGCGCCGCCGACAGAGAAGATGGAAAGAAACCCGGCGAGGGAAGACATAGACAAAGAGGCGGAAGCTTTTATTCGACATTTTCATGAGCACGACAAGGTGGTAGCGCCACGGCCGCCGCCGCCGCCGCCATCAAAGAAGCTGGAAAGAATTCCGACGAAGGAAGATATCGACAAACAGGCAGATGCTTTTATTCAACAGTTTAATCACCAGTTGCTTGTTCAGAGGTTGAAGTCTATTGAGAACGACAACAAAATGCGAAAATGATCGAACTACTTTCATCATTGGGGCATACTTTTTAAATTAAATTATTAATAGCTCTGTAAATGAATAAATGTGATTTTCTGCCATTAATAATTAATTTAATATAATTCAGAAATAAGAAATTAAAAAACCAAAATTTCATATTAGTGATGTATGTACATGGATATGATTGGTTATCTCCTTATTTTCTCGTAGCATTACTCTGGTATAAAAATGTTCACTCTTGCATTAAAATGTTTATAATGTTTTTTAACTTCCTCGTTTGGTCTAATTTGATATGATATTATTTGATTTAAGTCTGGTATAAATTAATTTGGTCTGATATATAAATTAATCAGGTTGTATTGAACGTTGAATAATGTGTGCCCTTTCTTAAACGTTATTATTTCTTTCTTTTGAACTCCTCTTATTTAAAGATTGAGTAATTGAGGGAGCCATTTTGTTGAGTTCCATTTTGTTCACCCCTCCTTCGATAGTGAATATCACTCTCTCCTCTCCATACTTGTTATTTGGCATTACAATTCTTTTTTTCTTGAAATTATTATAATTTTTTTAATTTCCACAAAAAATATACTAGTATCAAGTATAATATTCCGTAACTTTCCATAACTTTTTATGATCTTTCCGATGATATTCATATTGCATATAAAAATTGAAAAACGAAAAAAATTATATCTTTTTTAGCCGGATATTTTTTGAAATTTTAAATATGCAATATTAGTATCATATGAAAGATCATAAACAATTAAAAAAATATTGTTATATTTTTTGAAAAAATTGAACCAAAGATGAAAAGTTTTTTAACAATTGTAAAATTGTAATACTCCCTCCGTATCAAATTAATTGACCCGTTTGTTTTTCACGCAGTTTAAGACAATTACTGTAGACTTTATTAAAAGTAAGAGGTTTTTGGTACTGTAGAGACACTGTAGCGGTACTGTAGCTGCTTTTTGAGTGGGATTCTTTCCAAAAAGGGAAAGAGGTCAATTAAATTGATACACCAAAAAAGGAAAGTGAGTCAAGTAATTTGATACGGAGGGAGTATATTGTTATGTCATGTGGCAGCATTGGAGGATGGGATCAAGGACGGATCCAAGAATTTGGATTAGACTGTGGTAAAGAGTAATTATAGTAGACTCAAACATTAGAGGTGAGCTAAATATGAAAAAAAACACTAAAAATTTTGAAAAAAATATAAGTTGCACGGGATTTTAACCCACTATATAGCCTATATACGTAGTTCCTCGCATGATGGGGATGATGTTCTCCCTCTTTTGAGGGGTGAACAAAATTGTTTTCCATTTTGTTCACCCTTAAGAAAGTGATATCACCCTGATGCCACCATGTAACATGTCAATTTATTTTTGTTTTGCAAATTGCAATCGTAATAATTTTTCATGAGATAAGGACATAAATATTACTCCCTCCGTCCCAGAAAATTCTTCCAACTTTCCTTTTTGGGACGTCCCAGAAAATTCTTCCAACTTCACCTTTTTGATTATTTGTGTGGCTCACATTCATTTCACTTTTTTCTTACACAACTACAACCATACATTTCTACTTTATTCCATTACCTAAATATGCGATCCAAGTCAAAGTTGGAAGAAATTTCTGGGACGGAGGGAGTATATACTACATACAACTTTGTGAAATACGAGTACAAAAAAGTGATCACTTTTCATTTTGTTTTTTTTAACATGACTAACCTTTGGTTTAATTATTCCAAATATTTTCATTGTAAATTATAAGAAATCTCTACCCTAGCCCCTTCCACCCTACACTTGTCCAGCCGGGGCGGACTTAGAATGTGATGGGGCCATGGGGGTATTGATGCGTACGTTGTTTATCCTAAATTTTTTATATATAACTTTTCCCCTTGAATTTGTTTTAGGTGTTCTTCCAAATTAAAGTGGCACGGTGATTAAGAAAGTGAGAATTGTGTGGTGGAGAGTTGTGTAGAGAAGAGAGAAATGCTGTGAACCACAAATTCTTTGCCAAAAATGGAAAGTGAAGTTCTTTTTTGGACAGACGAAAAGAAAAAGTCGGAAGTAAATTTAGGGACGGAGGGAGTACGTAGTACCATGTAATTTATTTATTTTATGAAATAATTAAGCATTTATGCCTCTAAAAAGAGGGGGCACCACGAGCTAATGAGAATTTTTTATTCAGGTACTACGTAGTATGAAATTGGGAGATAATCAAAGTATTTTTCACTACTATATCAAAATTAACAAAAAGGGGTAAAAAATTTTACAAGATGAAATTTAGTGAAATAAAAAAGTTGCTAAGGGACGACCAAAGCCCCCCTGAACTACTGCTTATTCATGTTAGATGGTCATTAAACTCGATCTTTAAAGTTATCCTTACTAGTTTACTGTAGTTCACAACTTCAAATTAGGTGTTATGGATTTCGGTTTCACCGCAGGTGGCAGGTTCTATTCGGTCTGCTTGCTACTATAGAAAATAGGGCTGGGACGGTTCGGTTCTTACTCAAAATAAGTGGAACCATTATAAAAGTTTTAACTAATGAAATCAGTTCGGTTCCTATATAAAAAATCAAGAACCGTTATGGAACCGAACCGGTAGTAAATGGTTCGGTTCTTCCTTTTATCGGTTCCTAGAATAATTTTTTCTCGTCTAACAATTAACACATAATTTACTTTCTACAAACAACATAAACACGTCGAAAATTCAGAACACGAGTATTAAAATTTTATTTGAAGCTCTAATCACTTCAAACATCAAAGCTCAAACTTAACTAATGAACTTTGAACACTTAATAGAACAAAAGTGATTTAAATTTTCATGTAATAAATGAAACATTAAAAATCGTTGTAGTGTTAGAGTGATGAAGGTTACTCATCATCATAGTAGCAAGAATATGACGCCTACTTCAAGTATTTCAAAACATAAAAAAAAGACATTAAGTGTGAAAGATATAGAATATACTTTAGAATATTAGAATATACTTCAGAATATTCTAGGAATATACTTTAGGATATATTATTGTATAGAATCTTATATAGGAATATTCTATTTGTAATGTATATTTATAGGGACTTTCACAACTAATGAAATACACAGAAAATCATTCTCTCCATCTTTATTATCATTCTAGTTTATATTTCAACATGGTATCAGAGCCTTCCATTTCATGTAGTTTTTCCTTTGAGATTTCAGTTTAGTTTGTCATTATCTCTATCTCAATTTAGTTTTCAAACTGTGTTCTTTATTCAAGAAATTGATTTCAGTCCACAGTCTTCAAGAACCTCTGATCTCAGACTTTTCCCAGAACCTTTTTCCAGAACTTCTTCCCAGAACATCTTTCCAGAACCTCCCATCTCAGAAGCCGGCAAGCCTTTTCACACTCTGGTTCACCCCCCTCATCCTCCGGTTCGGCTGCCGCCGTCGACCAACCACCCGGAGTCCGCACGCCCAAATCACCTTGCGTGAGTTACACGCGCCGTCGGAAGCTCCCACAGCCAACACACGCGCCGGCGCGTGACGCCGTGTTTCTGGCTGGAGATTCTAACGGCGAGCATAGTCAGATTCGCCGGAGTGTCCTGTAGCAATATCCAGGTATAGATAGAAGGAGGGCTGGGTCTTGGCTGGCATCGGAAATCTGCGTTATCTGCGGACATACGCACGCTCATATCTGCGGACATACGCACTGTTTTCGTCTGGTTGTTATTCAGTGGGGATTTGCATAGGAATTCTGTCTGGAGTAGCAGTCAACGGCCCAAGCAAATTGGATATTCTATTCTCCAAAGTTTAGTCCACAAATGGGAAAGGCTTATGTAAGTTTTCCACCTTTATCTCAATTTTGAATTCAAAAAAAAAAGGCAAAAAAAAAAAAGGTGATAAAAAAAAAATGTTCTGTCCTCGTGAATTTGGAAAACAGTTAATATGCAACTACTGTAAGAAATCTGGGCACTTGATCAAAGAATGTAGAAAATTGACATTCAAAAATCAAGGAAATTCGACTGCTCATGTTGCTTCCGCTACCAGCTCATCTGATGGATCCATTGCTATTTCTTCAGGCGAGTATGCTAAATTTATTTGCTACCAAGAATCTCTAAAGCATTCCTCTATCCCTATCTCGGTAGTCGCAAATTCAGGTATTTCAAACACATGTCTTGTTTCATCATCCTCGAAATGGGTCATTGACTCAGGTGCCACAGATCATATGACTGGTAATCCTAGTCTATTCTCATCATTTCACTCGCATTTACCTACTTCCAGTGTCACTTTAGCTGACGGGTCTACCTCACCCGTTCTTGGATCCGGTACTGTTGTACCAACTTCTACATTACCATTATCGTTTGTTTTGAGTCTTCCTAATTTTTCGTTTAATCTGCTTTCCATCAGTAAAATCACACGTACCCTTAATTGTTCTGTAACATTTTTTCCGGGATATTGTGTGTTTCAGGATCTGTTAACGAAGCAGACTATTGGTAAAGGACATGAGTCGGCTGGTCTTTATATTTTGGATACATCAATCACAAAAGGTATCTCTTGTCTTGGGGTTGGAAATCTATTAGAAGCTCATTACTGATTAGGACATCCATCTCTCCCACTAATGAAGCAAATACATCCTCAGTTTAATAAGGTGTCATCTATACAATGTGAGTCGTGTGAGTTTGCAAAACATCATCGCACTAGTTTAAGTCCCCGACTTAATAAACGAGCAAATGCTCCGTTTGATCTTGTCCATACCGATGTTTGGGGGGCATGTCCAGTCATGTCCAAATCTAAATCTGGTTTCAAATATTTTGTTACTTTTGTTGACGATTATTCTCGTATGACATGGTTGTACTTCATGAAGCGTCGATCCGAGTGGGAAAGTTTGTCGACTTCGCAAATCTCTTTATGGTTTGAAACAGAGTCCTCGTGCATGGTTTGGGAAATTCAGTCAATCTATTGAACAATTTGGAATGATAAAAGGTCAATCAGATCACTCTGTCTTTTACAAAAGAACGAAAGCAGGTATCACATTGCTTGTGGTGTATGTCGATGATATTGTGATTACAGGAAGTGATACTGCAGGTATTTTGGCCCTTAAGAATTTTCTTCATAGCCAATTCCAAACAAAAGACCTAGGCTCGTTGAAATACTTTCTGGGTATTGAGGTAACACGGAGTAAGAAAGGTATATTTCTATCTCAGCGTAAATATGTACTTGATTTACTAGCTGAAACAGGAAAAATGGGAGCAAAGCCAAGCACGACTCCCATGGTTCCCAATGTGCAACTCACCCAAGAAGGCATACCATTCGAAGACCCAGAAAGGTACAGAAGATTGGTTGGAAAGCTTAATTATCTTGCAGTCACCCGTCCAGACATTGCTTACTCTGTGAGCGTTGTGAGTCAATATATGTCATCTCCGACCATTGATCATTGGGCTGCTGTAGAACATATATTATGTTACTTGAAAGGAGCACCAGGACGCGGGATTGTCTATCAAAATCATGATCACTTGAGAATAGAATGTTTTGCAGATGCTGACTGGGCCGGATCTAAAGATGATCGAAGATCTACCTCGGGCTATTGTGTCTTTGTTGGAGGGAACCTAGTATCCTGGAAGAGTAAGAAACAGAGTGTGGTTTCTCGTTCGAGTGCTGAATCAGAATATCGAGCTATGGCGCAATCTGCTTGTGAGATCATGTGGATAGACCATTTATTAAGTGAAATCGGATTGAAGACACCAATGCCTGCTAAATTGTGGTGTGATAATCAAGCTGCCATACACATTGCCAACAACCCAGTATTTCATGAGAGAACAAAGCATATTGAGGTTGATTGTCATTTTATTCGAGAGAAGATACAGAAAGGATTGATCTCTACGGGATATGTGAAGACTGGAGAACAACTTGGAGATTTGTTCACTAAAGCACTAAATGGGATCCGAGTTGGTTACTTATGTAACAAGTTGGGCATGATAAATATCTATGCTCCAACTTGAGGGGGAGTGTGAAAGATATAGAATATACTTTAGAATATTAGAATATACTTCAGAATATTCTAGGAATATACTTTAGGATATATTATTGTATAGAATCTTATATAGGAATATTCTATTTGTAATGTATATTTATAGGGACTTTCACAACTAATGAAATACACAGAAAATCCTTCTCTCCATCTTTATTATCATTCTAGTTTATATTTCAACATTAAGTTTGCATGTATAGATATAAAAAAACATTATTACATTCTATTGATTCATAATAAATCTAATAATTAGAAATATCATGAAAATAGTAAAGTAAAATATGTGCAATCAACTACAAGTTATTTGAGTTATTTTATATTTATAAAATTTATGTGATGGAACAAAACTTGATTTGTAGAAAGGAGTTTAATGTATTATATCAACCTCACGTACAATATTTATTACTTCTTTTCCATTGATTAAATTAGAATTGTTAGTTAAATATCTTATATTGTTTTATTATAGTGGTTGCGGTGGTGGTTATTATTGCAATTATATTATTATTATTATTATTGTTACTACTACTACTACTACTAATAATAATAATAATAATAATAATAATATTTTTTTATATATTTTTTTAATAACGGTTCCTTAACGGTTCCATGCACATATTTTTTATAGGAACCGGGAACCGAACCGTTATAACCCGCTTCGGTTCGGTTCCTACAAATGAGGCATTAATTGTTAACGGTTCGGTTCCTAGATGTTGTTAACGGTTCGGTTCCAATCGGTTCTACGGTTCACGGTTCCAAAATCCCACCCCTAATAGAAAAGCCTTATATATGTACGTGTTAAAGGCTTAAAGCCATACGAATAACATTAAAAAAATTAAATGTTGGGGCGGCCAAGGCCCCCTAACTCCGCCCTTGGGTCCAGCCGCTGCCAGAAACCACCATAGCAAGCCACCATTCGAAGCCGCTGCCATGAAATCCATCGGAAAAGACTCCGAATTTTTTTTAATGATTTTTCCTTCACCTTTCTATTTTTTTTAATTCGCTAAGAAAAGTCACAAGAAAATTCTTTAGCGGTCACATTGACATGTTTCACGGTATCAGTAACATCTATATCTATAAATGACATAAAGCGCATTGTATCTTAATGAGGGTTAAGGTAACGCCCTGTGTGAATTAGAAAAATATGTTGAATTTGAGCTTAAAAATCTATCACTTTAGAAATTCTTAAATTGTATAAATTGTATAGATTTGTTAGTTACAGATCAAACTAAGAGAATAAAGTAAAGTTGCAGAACTAAAAAGAGGAACACTCAACTAGAATTAAATGAATACAATTGCCACTTGCCAGTGACGGAATCTCCACAAATATCTTTTCCCATAATTCCAATGGCATCACTTTCACAGTAGTTCCAAAGTTTCACAGTTTCACATAAGAAAAAACAGCTAATTGTGTCCACTTGACACAATTCATAATTTATTTATAGGCAAGCGCCTGAGCTTGTTCATTGGTTACATTATTTATGTTGTGCAGCCAAAACTCCATCTGGCAGTGGCATATATTATTATTAATGAGAAAATCTTGTATGTGCACTAAAGGCTTTAGGGTCATAACAGTGATTTTTCTTGTAATTAGAGTCATAATTATAATAACTTTATGACATAGCAGTGATTTTTCTTGTAATTAGAGTCATAATTGTAATTAGCTTACACTTAATATTAAGAGTTTGAGTAGACACAAGCATATTCTAGGGCTCGTATGATGACCTTTATTTTCGATTATCAACCTTATCAATCAAGTTTTATTTATAAAACAAGTAACTTTTGAGTTTGCTCACTGAAGTACTGAACTATGTAATAATCAAAATAAGAGAGTTACATTTCTAACTGAATTAGTTGAAGGTCTTGTAGAGAATCATTTTAATTCATATAATTTTTCCTTATTTTATAAACAAAAATACATCCTCCGTCTCTTATCTTTGTCATCTTTCCTTTTTGTATGTCCCAAAAATTTTCAAACTTCCTTTTTAATTTATGAATCTGTTTTTCCTATCATTTGTCTCTAATTTGGACAAATCACAACTATTTACTTTTACTTTATTATTCCCCGTGTCAGTTAAACTTAGTAAAGTTTTTGAAGATTTAATTTTAAGTATAATCTTTCCATAATTTAGCAGATTCAATCAATTGAGTCATTTCAACTATTGTTTTTTTTTAATTTCAACATATTCACTCGATTCAGCCAATTTGTGTGTTATGAAACAAGTTCAGCTAACATGCCGACCAATAAAGCTAATCGAGTTGATGGAGCAGTTGGACTAGTAACTGAGGTCACAAGTCACCAATCCCCTGCCAACATTATTGCCAAGTGCCAACATTATTAACTAGTAATCAATCACACAGACGGGATTTCTCTATGTAACACAATCATAAACGCTTAGAATTCTATGGACACCCGCATAGGTTCATCTTACAAAACCAAAAACTAGATTGAACTTGAAATTAAAGTAATCCTTAAACTACTTACAAGTTACAACTTAGAAGTAATCCTTAAGGATGGACTCCATCCAATTTCGGTTCAAGACAACCATGAACCTTTGTATCTAATTCTAATTTCCGTTTCGGTTCCAGGTTCGATGCAAACATGTTTGCACTTAAGGATGGACCGATTCCGGTCGGCCCGGGAACCGGCCCGGTCAACCGAGGGCGATTCCGGGACCTGTAAAATGAGAACCGGCCCGGTCGGGCCGGACCCGGTCCAGACTTTATAATTATTATTTTTTTGTTTTTTTGGGTTTGGGGCCTTGGGCTGGGTTTAGGTGGGCTGGGCTGGGTGTTTTCGAGGGGTTGGAGTTGGGGGTGGAATAAATAAGAAAAAAAAGGGAACCAGCCCGGTCGCCCGGAACCGGTAGACTCCCGGGCTAGTCTTGGGCCTTCCCCAAAAACATCCAAGCCCGGCCGGGCCTAGGCCTGAACCGGAACCGGGCCCGATCCATCCCTATTTGCACTTAAAGAGAGGTTCACACTTACATGCGAACAAAATTTGGTCTCTAAGGGAGTGTTTGCAATTATTTCTGCTTAAAAAAAGTACTTTTGGAGAAAAAAAATGGTCTCTAAGGGAGTGTTTGCAACTGTTTCTGCTTAAAAAAAGTACTTTTGGAGATGTAAGGAAAAAGTGATTAATAGTAAAAGTTGATAGTGTTTGAGAAAAAAAGTGATTTTGAAAAGTAAAAGTTGACAGTATTTGATAAAATAAATGCTTTTTGTGTAATAGAAAAGGGAAAAACATTTTTCACACGCAAGCCGAGAAAAAGTAAAAATTGATAGTGTTTGATAAATAAGTTCTTTTTTAAGTCAAAAGCTTGCTTTTTTAAGTTGTTGCAAACACTCCCTAAAACCCAACACTTTTAAATACTCCGTACAACATTACAATCTCAGAACCTATTGTTTCAGACAGACTTTCAGTAAAGAACCTGAATTATGTCAACCATAATTACAATTTCAAAAGTGAAGCATTAAATGTTTCACTTGATCTCTTTTTAATAATAGATCAATTGGAAAACTGGAATATGAAATTACAAAGCCAGCAACGGGACCACTTCTACAGCATCCATGGAGATCATACACATTCCGAATTTTAGTAGAGACTAGTTTCTTCTTTTGGAAAGTCTAACGGAAACGAATAAGGCTACAAATGCTACTTAGGTGACTAAAATCAAGCACAATGGATATAGGAAAGAAAAGTGAACTTGAAAAGGGAACAAAAAGACTCTTGTCATTCCTTTTTCCAGTGTAAAGAGTTTCCGAAGTGAACTACAGAAATATCTAATGGGATCGCTTCCTATCATCGTCATCCTCCTCATCTGAGTCGCCACTCTCACGGAACCGCGGATTCTTTTCCTGCAAAGACAGGGACATATTATGCACTACAAAGTAGAATTGCCAAAATATACTTTTAAAGGGTAAGGGCATGTTTTTGAAGGGATGGTTTGGAGTATGTCTGAGGTGTGGTTATTTTTTATTCTAAAATTAGGACTACATATGCTTAATGGTAACATTAAATAAATGATCTTCAGTTTATACTGATTTATCCTTTTGATGCTAAATAAATGATATTGAGTTTATACTAAATTATCATTTATTTTTGTATAAACATGAAGTTGTAACACTACAGATGTTGTTCTTAAAAGGAAAAATAACTTGTCACCTCCCTTCCCTCCAAACCAATACCATATTCATGTATGAAAAAGTTACTCCGTAGAAAATACGACATTGCAGAGAATCCCAGATTCCAGATATTAGGTAAAATACTCTGTCCTGACTTTGGCCCAATTCCCAAAATTTTGGATAAACTTTTTCATTCCAAACGTGAAACGTCATTTTGTTTTTTATCTAGTTTGTAGTAACTCAATTCCACTTCCCAGTAAATCAATTCAGAAAATATTCCGCTTTTGATCATTCTCATTGTTGTCTCTAACTTTCATGTTTCTACTTCCAGTCCCGACTAGAGATTTTTGGTCACTTAAGGTTCTTCTGACCATTTATCAGGTTAATTTCCGTTCAATATTTAGTTGATTTTTGCAGGACAAGTGGGAAAATGAAAGTTGTGGATGAGCGGCTAAGTAGTTGTGTGACCAAGTGAAACTCTTTTTTTTTTAATTCAGACCATCAAACCATTCAGAATGTTTACTATTAGTGGAGTAAACTACCAGTAACTAGATAGTTCCCATGCAAATATATCAAAACATCAAAGTATATCAAGTAAGCAGGAAATGATGCTACATAATGATAAAAACAGAGAGATCTTGAAGGACAGTATTTTTTAATTCAGAAACAAAACATTTTACCGGCCGAGCTTCCTGGTCAGAATCTTTTGTAGGTTCACGACGGTAAACTCTCTTTGAGTAATCGAGTCTAGGACGGTCATCATCTCTATTCCGCTTACGCTGGTAATCTGTTCCTCCAAATATGCATTAAAAGAAAAATATACTTAATGAACAATGTAATTATAGAACAATTGAAGGAACACATGCCGAAGTAGTTAGCGGTTTATGGGACCACCTCTGCCGTGCCGGTAAGAACCTCCGTGACCATGATTCCCACCATGCCGACCATCTGTTACACATCAGTTGTCAAAAAGTAATTGAGATAATAGGAGTAAACTCAGTTTTTAGTAAACCACTCCCTCTAATTTTAATTCTTTCATGTTCTTAAATTTTGCTGTTC